CCACTTGCCGTCGGTCGTTTAATGGCCATTGTCGACAGCATTCAACGAGCCATGGTGCAAGGCCGAGGGACGCAAATGACGAAATATCTGATGGCCTTGTTACTGCTGCGGCATCCTGGGCTGTTATAGGATCCGCATTCGTCGTCGCATTCCCATTGATTTCAATATTGCTATTTGCCTCTGTGCCCTTCTTTTTTATTCGTGAGATAGTAGGAAAGAGGGGTTGCTGTACTGGTACTGGTTGCGCTGTATCTGACGAGGATGGTGATTCTGATAATCGGCGTCGTTTGGCGGGTGGGGTTCGCTCCGGTATCTCGACTCCGTCGGATAATTCACCGCTAGCAGAAAAATTGGAATCTCCTGACTCCGAATCCAGTTCCGCTTCTAAATCTTTGGAAAGAGCCATTTTTTGCTCAGGTGCAGTTGATCTACGGTTGTTCGTGCCTTTTTTTTTTTTTTTTTTTTTTTTTTTTCCCTTGAGCATAAAAGACATTTTGCCGATTTTGAGTTGAAAGCGGTGACGGCATAAATAATCATGTGATATCAAAGTACTCCAAAGATCCACATACTTATCAGGAACAGAAAAACAAGGACTACTTCAACACAGTGTATTCAGCTTGGATCACAGCCAATCTAGGGACCTTGGTCCAAATTATATGAAAGAAAGACCCCACCAGCATACCAACAAGTCAATGAAGCTGTATTCCGTACAGCCTGTGCAATGTTGGGAGTACCAGAGAGCAAGCAAGGAAACAAACATCAAAAATAAGAGGTTGTGTGTATAGAGCTGGAGGCCCCAACGTAGCCCAATAAGAGCCCTGTAAAAGAAGAAAACCGGAAAGAAAAATGACACTCAAAAAAAAGGGTGAAAAAGAGTGGACTGAAATGCGTCAATACGTCCACCAAACACTCCAACCTTCACAACAAAATATTCTCTCAAAATCATGTACAATTTTTGCTTTCCAAATCACTCTGCTTCCCCGCGACCCCTTTTAGCCGCACGCGGCATATCAAAAAAAAAAAAATTCAAATACTGCATCCAATTGTATACATGTAGTATAGCATGCGCGCGGCCCGGGAGGCTGCCAATAACGAAAAAAGAAAAGATAGAAAAGAAAAAACACACACACAAGGCACTAATTTTCACCACGACTCCTCTGCCGCATGGAAGACCTGGAATGAAGCTCGAACGACTCACCCCTCTCCAGTTCATCCTCGACCGCAGAATCTGAAGACATAAATATCCCACCACCCTCTCCAGACGCTGGCGTAACCATTGCATCACTGTCTCCATAGCCGTGCGTTCCACCCACACTCTCCATGGTGAAGGGGCTGGCAGTAGGCGCATCGAGCGCGACAAGCTCGTCCTGTGTGAACCAGCGTGGAAGCAAAGACGTCCGAACAGGGATGAGAATGAGGATGAACACGGGGAACCCAATGGCCGCGATCGTTTGCGTTATGGCGAAGGTTGCGCCAAACCCGACAAGCTCAATGCCCACAAATGCCCAGATGGCCAGTTTCCGCTCGATGCGTTTCAGCGGATCGGACGCCGGCGTGAATTTCTTGTCTTGGGCTAGGAATTTTATCTTCTGCGTCATGCCATTGCTCAGGAGGGCTTGGACGCCCATGACGAAGAAGAGGCCTGCCATTACTCCCTGCGGGATGAGGTGAAGGACGGTAAGGAGCGGGCCGCTCATAGTACCTAGCGTGAGCAGACCTTGGGCTAGGTTGCTGAATCGTTGTTCAACGACGTGATCTATGACGCGAACCGATTTACCCTTATTCGTTTCGTCTTCGTCGGCGACCTGGCGGGTAACGCACAGTGCAGCGGTATGGAAAGGCGCCTGTGGGATCAAGCCGTTGGGGAACGGGATGCCAAGGATTCCGGCCACGCCTGTCGTTAAACCGAGAAGAAATATATCCCAGTGAAACCCAGCAGGTTTTCGGAGCGGAAACTCCGTCCCCTGAGTTATCAAGGATGAGACTATCTTATCGATTAGTATTATCTGTAAATGAGAAAATAGCAGTTGAGAAGGAAAGAGGAACAAAAAGAAAAGTATTGTTAAAACCATTATGATCAAAGTAAAATAGAATTGTCAAGAGTACGGCGAATGGTACCGCCAGGAAGATGTCCCGGACGTCCATATCCCTGAAATTAACAAGCCAGCTGCGGTCGAGAGTCGGAAAAAAAGCCTTGCTGGTGGGCAGCGTTTCAACAGGCACGTCTCTCATGCGGCCAATGTGTACAAATCCCGTGAAAAACACAATAGTAAGCGGAGTGCCGTAGTCCTCAACGAATTTTCGGATGTAACGCTGGAAAAGGTTGCTTTCCCCGACCGCACCACAGATATAAGCGCACATGAGCACAAGAAGGGACACCATGATAGAAAGGTAGGCAGAGGCTTCGCCAGATTTACCCCATTGACGTGTGAGGACCTGAATCCCCTTTTGTAGGTAGATAAAGGCTACGTAGAATCCGAAAATGTCGCAGGAGAAACGAGTGACATATGTCAGCGCGTTGCAGGAGTTGGTAACGGCGAGAATCCAATGCATGAGCATCGCCCATCTGGAACCATGTTAACATATGAATCTAGGCATGGCGCCAGATTCCGTGTAATTTTACGGGTCGTGCAGGCCTCACTCACATCCCAATCCAGCACATGAAACCCAAGTAGTTGACGCCTGTCGGGGACATGATATCGTAAACTGTATAGTTAAAGACAGTAATTGGGCCTATGACCAGGTGAGTTAGTTAGCATAACCTGGGAGCCACTTTCTCCGCTCACAATGATGTATCGGAATGAACCCAATACTTTACTAACCTGTTACTCCAACGATAACTAAAGGCTGGCCCGCAAGTAAAGAGAAAACCACAGCACCTAACACCGAGGCCAACAATACCTCGTTGACTCCGTAGCTCATGTTTGTTTTTTCAAACATGTCCAAGGAAAATGCAAGAGCGGGCAAGATGCTGCAGGTACAGTAAGTATTTCCATCGTTATGAACGACTTGTGTGCATGTTCTTTATAGGCTCTGCATTCGGTGATCTGCTCCATCTTTACTCCTCTGGTTGTTTTCGCCAGGCCGCTCTTTGAGCATACTCACGGAGGGGAAAAAAGTGCAACGTTTCTCTTTGGCATTGGAGGGAGGGGCAAAGCAGGGTTCGAGGGAACAAATTGATAAGAAAGGAAATATGAAAAAAAAAAAAAAAAAAAAAAAAAAAAAAAAAAAAATGAAAGAAAGAATATATTCTCTGGGTCATACTTGGCAAAATACATATATATCGTCGCTGGAACGACGCGATAATCCCACGCCTCTTTCCAGTCACTAGCATAGTACGGCACCCTCCTCTTTATATCGTCTATCATGCCCTGGAAAAAGTGAATATGCCACCACTTATCTCCGGAGCTTGAGGTCCCCCTGGTCCCCGTCGAACCCGAAGAATCTGCGCGTGTCAGATTCTGCGAATTACGGGTGCGCTCCGCCTCCTCTGCAGCTGCAGGCGCTGTGCTTCTCATTGAAGAACGGCGGGGATGCCCTCGCGAGAAATGGAGAGATGAGATGCTAGGGCTTTTCCGCGTCTTTTTCTGTTGGGTGCGCGATGGCGAGGGATGAGATGAGGAAGAAGAGTGGAAGTTGGGCCCAGTGGGCAAGCCGAAACTTCCGCGCGACGAGTGTGGTTGCTGTTGTAGCGAACTCATGCTGATTGATGATGGGTAGAGGAGAGGATAGGATAGATAGAAGGAATGAAAATACTAATGCGTTCTCTATATCGTCCCACAAGATATATTGTTAAATTAGTGAATGAGGTCGAATATATCATCATCGTCTGTCCAGCAATTGTTGGATTGCTAGATAGATGATGAAATGTTGAGACTAAATAGTTGCTAATTTCCTTGACTAGAGCTGATTATTAACCACCAACCAATCTGACCAGCAGGCTACACCGCCAAAAGCTGGGATCCCAGAGCACAAGTTTTACTGCGGAAACAACGTCTGACACTGGACCAGGGAGGGTCCTTATCATTTACTGCAAGTTACGGATTCTACACTCGGGTCAAATAATGAGGAGACAGAACGACTTCATTGCCCTACCACACTGTTCCATCTCAGCGCATCAGGTCAACATATGTACATACATATAAAGTACTGTACATACACTGCTCTGGTGTGCAAGGCAGGCTAGGAATCAATAATACTAATATATATACAAGATTACCGCACATGTACTAGTATGTACAGTGATTGACACCATGTATCAGTAAAAAGGTAGCTAAACCTATGCAAAATGTCAATTATTAGTCCACAAAAAAAATATTAGTTTGAAAAACAGAAAGCGAAGCTCCTAGTTATATGATATATAAAATACGCCTCTTAAGCTTCTCCTTGCATCCAAATATTCCCTTTTCTTATTTTTAATTTTACTTCTCTCCTTCCCTGCTGTCAGTCCACATAGTACATATTACCTGCCTGTATTTCTGAATTGGGGGGTAACTAAGAACAATTTTTGGTCAAAGGAAGCCTATAAAAACCGTTAATTAGGACTCAGGCGAGCAAGTTAGCATTCTCTTTTCCTTGGTGTTAGTAGCAGTAAAGTGTGTTGATAAAATATTTCTGGTTCGGTTTGATGGAGGACAAATTTACGCTGGAGGGGGAGGAGGTGGCAAGTCACTCGGAGGCTATCAATGCAAATTAAGTCAGTAATTTTCTAATTAAATATTCAAAACACAGAAACTGGATAACTTACAGGTGGTGGAGGTCCATCAGCTGGAGGTGGAGGTGGGGGTGGGGGTGGACTTCCGGCACCATACCCAGGGAACATGGCTCCCATCCCTGGAGGAGGTGGAGGTGGCACTGCATTGAGACCGGGAGGGGCTCCCATATTCTGATGGGGCGGGAAGGCTGAATAACCAGGGTACCCGTAGCCTGCATGTCCTGTCGAAGCTGCTGGAACAGGGGGTGGCACTGGAGCCGGTGCGTGGTGATGTTGCTGCTGCTGTTGCTGCCAGGGAGGTGGCCCGCCCGATGCGGTGTGTCCATCAGGTCCACCGGCTCCGCTATACCCACTGCTGCCGTGAGATCCATATCCATAGCCATTTCCCCCTCGACTTTCTCGGCCACCACGGTCGCCACCATGATCACCACGATCGTTACGGGCTGCCCAGGGGGGTGGTGCTCCTTGCTCGCGAGGATAATCATCACGAGGTGGCCGGTCCTCCCTTGGTCGTTGCCAAGGGGCAGGTCCACCGGTCGGACCCCGCTCCCATGGTTTCAATGGACGATCGCCTGCAGGATAATTGTCATTTTGTTCATAGCTCCCACGACCAGCCTCGATGCGACGCTGAGGTTTGCTATCATCGCTTGGCGGTGCACCCCCAAGTTCTTGCATGAGTTGCTATAAATCATCATGTTAGTAGTATTTTCTGACGAAGTATCAGGTGGTGGAAACTTACCTCCATCTCACGGTCAACAGCATCGCCACCATCACGACGCACGGGAGGACCATGATTGCGCCAATCAGTTCCTCTCTGGCGATCCGGACAATCCTTGGCCATGTGTCCGGGCATTTCCGCAAACGCGACAAATAATGCTAGCGGTGAAGTTACGTTGCTCGGGACAATCGTATTTACGATGGCCCAATTTGACCGCCTAATTATATATCATTAGCTGTGTGTTTCCATTTATTCCTAGGGAGGTAGGGTTAAAAACTCACAGTTTTGGCAAGCTTGGTTCTCGTCATCTCTGAGCGTTCCGTTAAGGGCCGCCAGCTCTCGCAACTGGTTTCGTTTGAGCTCATTTTGGCCTTCGGGAATCGATGCAGCCTATTTTCAATCTGTAAGGAAAACGTATATAAAAATACAACTAAAATGGGAGAGGAAAAGAATCAATCGATCAGATGGGGGATAACACGTACAGTTTCGATAACATTGTGAATCAACTTCTTCGCTTTGTTAACCTTTTCTTCGGTATCTGCCATGATTAGACAGTGAAGATCTTCTTCCTGGTTACTAGTGTGAGCCGCGTCAGATCGACCTTTGCCCTCTTTGACGGAGCCTTTGCCCCGAATGGCAATTTTTGCACCAGACTCTGTTTCCATTTTCTTGAGGGTGTTGCCACGAGGTCCGATAAGTAAGCCAACTTTGACAAGAGGGAGTGGTAGCCTATGTGTTAGTCTTTGAAGATTTCATAAATATAGGAAGTCATGGTGAATTGTGCATTAGTAAGTAGGAGGTTAGTGGCAAAAACAAAGGAAATATTCAAGATAAAGTAAAAAAGAAAAAGAAAAAGAGAAGAAAAGAAATAGGAAACAGAGAAAAGAAACGACTCGAGGGCTCGCTCGAGTTCATTTTTTGAGAATAAAGAAAGATCAGGAAATAGATTGTTAAGGACACGAAGGTTAGGAGTTAGAGGGTTAGTAATCATACTGAAGTTAATCTCTGGATAGTCGTTCACGGGCACATAGACTTTCTCCTGTGTTTTAGTCGGACGTCTGTAGTCCGACGGAGGATGATAGTTAGGGATGACCTTCACGGCCTTTTCTATAAGCTTATGGCGTTCGTCTTCCAGGCGTTTCCGGTAGCGGTACTCCCTGGTATTCACACGCCTACCGAAGTTATCGTATTGCGGAGCGGGAGAAGGGGACCTATACAACGGTTTTAAAAGAATCTGTTAGAAAAATTGCTTTTTCGGCCTAATTCTAAGAGTAGGGGAACATGGTAATTTTTTTACGCACCTGTCTCCGTCCGCGGGAACAACGTCATTAATTCTAAGTTTCTGGCTGATTTCCTCGATGCGTAGGTGAAGAGTATATGCCTCAAGCTGCTCATTCGTCATGTTCGCCATGATCAAGGTTGGCAGGCCCATGAGGCCAGCGGCTTTGTTTTCCTCTGCATCCCCCCATCGGTTGCGCTTCTTGCGCTTCTTAACCCCGTCAACGGGGGGTTCAGCTGTTAAAGGAACAAAAGAGTTAGATTCTTCGCATATGGTATATATATATAACATATATTGAAGGGTGCGCTGAACTTACCTCGGACAGGACTCCGTCCACGTTTGAATCCAGCATCTGGGGTTGACACTGAAGCGGAGTCCTCGCTTTTATTGTCTTCATCACCGCCAAACCTGCGGCGACTGCCAAGCGGGATGTTGTTAGATCCTGTGATTCCCTGGTTACGCCACGACATGATTCTTTGTGCAAGACTGATGATATCGAGTTAATCAGGTCAGTTAGCTGAATGAGGTCAGTTGTAAGATGGATGTCAGATGGAAGTGGCAACACGCGAAAATAGCTGGGCAGACTAATTTTTATATCACGTGATGTTCTGCGACTACCTAGGTAGGTACTGATTTCCCTAAAGAGAGGTACCACACTAGAAAGGAAGCTCCCACAAACCAATACACATTTACCTGTAACATAAATAAAATAGCATATAGCCGGAAATATCCACACCATATGCCCAGAGGTTATCTTCGTTCTTCGTAGCAGGGGTTCAGATCCAGATAATCGCGTTTTTGTTTCCAGGAAGATATAAAAGAAAGTATAAGTAGGTTGAGTAGGTGAAAGTATATAAAAATTTCAAACAACCATACAAAAATATATAATTTATCCCGTTTCAAATTCGTACATTGTAAAGAGAAAAAAAGAATAAATACAAAACATATGTAATAAATCGAGGAAGGGGGAAGCGGGGCTGTTCTCCACTTCCTCTTCTCGAAATACAAAAACAAGAAGAATAAACGCAAGCGAGCAAATAACAAAGGATAAAAAGTGCTTTTCGCGAGCACATATTTGTCGTATGAACACATTGAGGCCGGGTTTTAACCGTGTTGGTGTGTTCCCGTCCGTTTGAAAGACGGAGTAAATACAACGATTGTGGGGGGTTATTGAATTTTCACAAATTGCGCAGAGAGCTGGTTGAGAGTAGGATTGAAGTGTGAGAAGGAGGGAGGTAATAATTATAGACATGAGAAGTGCCAACTCTCTGGATCTCTTATTCCTTTCGGAAAAGAGTGTTAAGGGAAATGGCCAAGAGCAAGCGAAGGTGCAGGTAAGGAATCAGCGCGAGCTGTACACAAAAAAAGCGCAAGGAGTTACAAAGAAGAAAAAGAAAAGGTGGAGGGAGGGAGAGAAAGCTGCTACCACGAGAAACTTTCCTCCAAGAAATCAATATGGCTTCCGGATTTCCTCGTACGGCATACTCGTCGGACATCATCGCTCAAGCTACCCGTGCCGCACACAAGTACACCCATAGCCCCTACTTGGTTTTCTATTTCGGCATCGACAAGTGTTGGAATATTCGGTTTGCCAGGGAACATCTGCACGGTTGAGCTGGGGCTGTGAATCTCGCGTGTGTTGCGTGGTCGAGTGATGAAAAGCAAGATTCGAAGAACATCGCGGCGCCCTTCCATAGACAAGATGCTGTTCATCCATGGGCGGATCCATTCAAGGTGCTCTGGTGATTGGATGATCCACACTAAGGTAACCCTTCGAGCAGAAACTGTGCCCGCTGCATAGCCTCCAACAAGATAACGGACAAAGGACACATGGTGTGTGATGCCAACACCAGCCGCGAACAACATAACCGTCCCGTACGAGTCTAGGGAGTGGTCAACTCCATACGGACCCTCCACCATTGCCTTGAGCGAGATACGACCGTCCCTGGTTGCGCTGGCCTTTTCGAATAAAGAGTTTGTGAATCCAGTTCTTCGACGGATAACCAAAGAGATGCTTGTCTTCTGTGCACTGAGAACATCCTGGCGAGACCTGACAAGGCCCTTCTCGTCGGTAAGATCATCTACTGCCTCGCTCCACGCAGCAGTGAAAGGATGAGACATCCAGAAACCAACAGATGGCACATAGAGATAAAGGTGCTGCCCGGGCTTGAATTTCCATGGCCGTACGAGTTTCAACGTGATGCGGAGTGCCTCTCCAGGTAGAACTTCAACATCAGCAGTTGTGCTTGTTTTCTTACCGATGTTCCGGTACAGGAGGAGAGCAAGACGGGTGAAACGCTGCAACATGTTAACGAGATGAACATTTAGGAGACATATGAGAAACGGATGTCAACATGACAGTCCAACTTACTTCGGCTACCCAGAGGGCGATGGCTGCATAGAGATATTTCCGCGCAGCCTTTGACTTCAAGTGCACACACAAAAAACCCAAAGCTGCGGCCACAAATAAGATGTGGAGATGCAGGAAGGTCTCATAGAACGCATGTCGAATCGCAGAAGGTGAGTGCAGTGCTAGTAGCAGGAAAGCAACCATCGCCTAGTTATTGTTAGATTTTATGTTGTATTTCCTTAGGTATAATATCTATCCCATTGTACTCACAATTAGACCAGTCATGATGAATTGGCCTTTGAAAGATTCTGTAACAGCGTCCCAGCCCCCTATTGCAACTGTTAGTGGCAAGTTATGGTACGTTGTTAAGGAGCTGAGGGGTCCAACTTGTATGAACTTTGTTTATCATCCACGCAATGACGTGGGTCAGAGCCTCCAAAACCACGATCCGCGCAAACCAACGGTGTAGAAGATTCCATGTATCGAAAGACACGTTGAGCAGTTTGATGAAAGGGTTATTTCTTCCCCCCATGACAACGAGTGGAATCAAATTAACCACGGCCAGGGTGCCCGAGCGGTTTCTGATGACACCAAGAACAGTCGTTTCGGCTGATGAATATGGGATGTCGATAGAGCAGAGGGTTGCGTTCATAGCAATGATCCCCAAAAGGAGGAAAGTTTGGAATCGGGTAGGAAGAGTTCCAACGTTGACGGCAGCAGAAAGACGGAATTCTCGGTTATGTCGTGTTCGAAATAGAGGAGCATAGACGACAGATTTCTTCAGCCAGGCCCAGTAAGGATCTTCTGATACGAAATACCGTTGCGAATCATTGGTGAGGGTCGTGAGCCGACGTATATGGTTCGAAAATCGAATGGAATTGTGCCAGATTAGGAAGAACGCGAGAATGCATCCCCCAACTAAGAGGCATAGACGCCCAAGCCTGTCATCGAGGAGCTCAGAGGCAGAAGGGCTATCGCCATGTGTGTCCTTTCCACCGCCTGTTCTTTTCTCATGCGCTGCAGCGACTGTGCCAAAACCTGATAGAAGGATATGTGCGGATTTCATTATGGGTTTTTTGCTTTTCGCGAGCTCCCTCGAAAACTTCGCGAAAAAATGTTGTTGAAGTGAAGGAGAGAAACAAACCAGGCCAAGCTGGTTTTTTGGGTTCAATGTTTGTAGACCAGCCACAGAGCGATAAACCCCCCCCCCAAAAAAAGAAGAAAAAAGCGCCGAGAGAATGGACAAAGATGGAACGATTGATATATATTTAAAGGAGTATTTCAAACGAATGATTATGTGGCATGGAGACGTACTATGTATATCAGGGGAATCATAGATAAGACGGTGTGTTTTGGGAATAGAAGGAACCATCTGGTGAATACGCTGCCAAGAAGAAGTACGTTTGGAAGCTTTCAAGGGGCTTGGGTAGGGCAGTAAGTGTGCAACTATGAATGGAACAGTGCACAGATCTCGCACCTGTCGATCGGAGAGAAACTGAACGCCTCGTCACCTGTGGCGTCGAGCACTTATGATTAGCAAGGAATTGAATCGTACTGCTTAACGAAAATATGAGTGCCGTTAGGGAGGGTGGAATGATCTTCCTCGGGCAACTGGCAGATGGATGTGTCTTGTTTAGATTCCCAGGAACTTGGGTGTCCGTGTGGTTTTTGTTTTCTAGTTAGAATACCTCAGGGCACGGACGGGATGGAATGCGGAGGGAGGAGACGCAGAGCTTGTTTATCCTGAGCCAGCAGAAACAGGAACTGTGGTCCCGCTGAAACAACCAGCGAAGCGGGATCCTTGTGTGTCTGGAGAGAATGACGGGGACAGCAATGGCTGTGGGACAGAGGGGCCAGACAATCGGTGCGAGGCTGCAAGAGAAGGAAGAAACTAAAGATCGAATCACAATAATGAATGGCTATTCCTGCAATGCAGCCGCACAAGAGGAGAAGTTGAACACACACAGAGAGAGAGAGAAAGCGAGAGAAAGAGAGGGATATGACTCTTAGAGCGCCAGCACAACCGAGAAGGATTGCTGGCTGCGTGGAGAAGGATCCATCACCCAATTTCTTAGCTGGCGTGGTGGAGGTTTGGAAAAACCTTGGAGTCTGCCATTGTCGAGGGGCGAGGGGGTTGAGCCTGTTGTCGACAGAGCCTCGAACCCGCTCGGATCGCGGCCTGCCGAGAGGCTTGCGCTTGCGGATAGCCCGATACACAGTACGCAGTACGCCAGCAGTACAGCCAGCCATTCGTACAGCATGGACTCCACCTTCTTTTGTTCGCCCGGTTGTGGTGTGACCTTCTCACCTCGTAAATTATTCGTAAATTATTCGTAAATGAGCCGTATTCTAGCTCTTGTCTTGCGCAACTCCCCGCATGCTGGATCCTCAAGGGACAAGCTTGTCCATCCTTGGTGGTTCCTCGCAAAAAAAAAAAAAAAAAAAGCTCTACGCCGTAATGCTGTCACCCCTTCTGATCTCAGTTGAGGAACCGCGGATCTCACTTTTGACCAGTGCTAATCGTCAGAGTCGACTGCTCTGGCAAATGAAGACATATGAAGAATACGCAGCGAACAACATCCTTTGGTGGAAAACTAAACGCTCCAGCGCTTAGAGCCATTGCCTAGTGCCTGCTAGTTCATGACCTGGGGCGAGCCGGCCGTGCGTCAGAAACGAATTGAGCCAGTCCTGAAATGGACCGTTGTGTCGAAAGTTTTGCCCGTGGGAACGGGTTTCCGGCTTTCAGCTGC